GGAGAGCCCAATCTAACCTAAGTCAATCCTGGTCACCCTTCTCTTTTTTATTAAGATTGATTCAAGGAATCCAGGACCCATCACAAATGGCATCCTTGGCCACTGGGATTGGTTCTGAAGAGGTTTGATCGGTTAGCAGCTTGGGGATCTCCTAACACACTCCCAACCTTCCCTTCCCTTTAACACAGGCACATTAAGCCTAGCAAGGACATGGCCTACAAAACTGCTAACGGCCAACCTGCAGTCCTGATGGAGCCAGGCTTAAGAGGAAGTAGGCGCTTCAGAAAGTCAGAGCAGAAAGAAGAAATGGGGTTCCGTGACTTTATAACAGCTCATAAATCAGACCGAAATCGGCCTAACTTAAATTATAGGTCAGCTAATGAACCCTTCTGAGTGACATTCGACAGAGCACACATCATGCAGTGCTGACTGTGCCTCGCACTGTGCTAAGTAGTGGGGTGTAGAGTGAACATGGCTCCCACTCTTCTCTTGGGGAATTGGTTAAAAAGACAAACATAAGGATAGTGATTTTTAGAAAAAGAGGTAAACAGATTGTGGGTTAGGGGTAGGGACTTAAACCCCATAGGAGGAATGGGGGAGTGGGGAGCTTGTCACTTGAGGGAGGTGATTATATATTGAAACTTTTTAATATGGAATCAGAATGGTTTTTGGAGGGGGGGGGGTGTCTCTATTTTGACCACAACTGCATTCTGTCCCCCATTTTAGAGACTCTCTTATTTTCCTAGGGGCCTGACTAGGACTCAGAAAAGAACTAGAATTCTTTCCCTTCTCTGGTCTCTGGTCTCTGACAACATGGTCTCACACTCTGACCTGGGAATGGCCTCTCTGCTGACTGTAATGCCAAGGCTCATGGTGACTAACACTAAAATCATCACATGAATTTGGGCATACGCGAGTGCTGGCCATTTATGTGTTTCCTCTCTTCCTTGGAAGGCTGTGGTAAACCTGTGGAAAACCCAGTGACCCCTGGTTTACACAGAAACTAGTCCCCCATGGCCATTCCATTTTAAGTCACAAAAGTAGAACACGGCCACCATAGCTACTCTTTCCTGAAATTCAGTGTATGTGTTGGGGAGGAGGGGTCCTCCAGACTGAGCTAATTCCACCAAAATTGTTGTTTAACTTGATTAGTCCAACAAGACCCTGCAGTAATGATTCTTTTCACTGCACCAAACTCTGGACCTATATTTCTCTGAAGACATTGTTCTTCTAAGAACTATGAGCAGTGAGCAGGAAAAAAGAACAAAGTGTATAGAACCATTACAACTGCAGACCTCAATGTTTCATGACTTTTCTTTTTTTTTTAGATTTTAATGGGGAATTGGGGGAGGGGAAGTGTTGGGGAATTGGGGAAGGGGACCAGCCAAGTTGTTGTTCTTCAATATTCATTGTGGAGGGTGCCAGTCGCCATCTGGCTGCCAGTCGGCAGCACGTGGCTTTTAAGCTCAAGGTGCTGTGTTCAATCTTAGTTGCGGGTGGGCGTAGCCACCATACCACGCAGGAGTAGAACAAGCAGTCTTGTTGTTAAGAGCACACACTGTATCCACTGAGCCATCCAAGCGGCAGCTCAGCTCAAGGTGCCAAGTTCACTCTTAGTTGCGGGTGGGCGTAGCCCACCATCGAACAGGCAATCTTGTTGTTATACCAGCTGAGCCATCCTACCACCTGTTGCAGCTCAGTGACAGCTCAGTTCAGGCTCAGTGTCACTTGTCCGTGTGGGAATCGAACTGGCGGCCCTGTTGCTCAAAGCTCGCACTCTTAAGCCAACTACTTAACCAACTGAGCCACTCGGCCAGCCCCTCATGACTTTTCTTGATCCATCTATTTGCATCTATTCCTCATTATCCTGTGAGGTTCTCTCCCTGGGACTTTCTCAAATGTATGTATCCTCCCTCAGTCGTGTTTCCCTCTTGTTTTTGGTGTGTACTTTTCTCCCTCTGCCTGAGAAATCACTTAATTGTCTAGGACTAAAAATCTCATGTGTTACTCACAGAGGCATTTATAAAGAACATAAGCCATACAGGTGCACCCACCCACCAACGACACACACACATTCTGTCCCTGTGTTCTGTTCCCAAGACACACAATCATCTTAGAGGAAAAAAAATCTGGATCTATTCTCAGTTTCCTCTAAACAAGAAAAAATCCCAGCAAGAGAACAGCAAAAGTCACAAAAATAGCATCTGTGCTGAGATCAAAGATCCTCGAGCTGGCTTTTGAAAAGCAGGACTTCACCCATGGACTGGGCATCAATTATTCTCAAGCTTGTACAGAAGCAAAGAAAAGTGAAAAAAAGATTACCTAACACTGACATAGTCTAGTACAGACCGCTTAACATAGCCAAAACACAAATGAGCTTTAAATTTAAGGTATGATATTGAACTTTGTAACATGAGCGGTTTCCCCTTACAAATTTGGTCTGGTGAAGTGTAAGTTCTACTATAGTGCAGTGTGTTACTCTGAGGATCAAATGCAAACAGTGGAAATTATAGCATTAAAGACAAATCAGAGCTCCAAAAGAGACAGCTCAAATTGAGCAGCAGCCAAGATCCATTAATAAATTGTACTGAATGAACACTGCTATCTGACAATCCCATTCAAGACATGCTCAAAATCACAGGATTAGCAGATAGCCAACCATACAATGAGACGAGCAGAAACTATTTTTTGGGAATATTCATGGAGATAAGATCACTATAAAAAAACTCATCCACTACTGATGCAGGAAAGAACAACATTTTCAAAGTTGTCATTATTTTTTAAATTATAAGACACCTGGTAGCCTGGCTTGAACCTATAGGCACTGAACCCACTGGGGAATTTTCCTCTGGAAAAACTAAACAACCTCCCAATGGAAAAAAATTACTGATACTAATACTTGAGGAGATTCCAAGAAATGAATCACCCAGTCACAGGAAAGCCCACGCACATGGAACGTCTAATCAACTTTTTATTACCTCATACATAAATGAATGGACAAAGACTATCAGACATTTGAGAGGTTGTATTATAAAAGACAGCAAAACAGGAAAAAGAAAAAAATTACCAAAATTCTAAAAAGAGAAAAGAAATTAGAGTGCATCTACACAGTTCTTTTGCAGTCATTTTGTTTTTGAAGCATTATGTAATATTAAGTGTAAGCAAATTTTNGTATAGTACACAAATATTGGGTCGTTGGGAAAGTCATGACTCATTTTTGCATTGGAAAACATAGAAAAATACGTCATGATTTTCCCGACGACCCAATAGTAAGTGTACAGGCTGAAGAAATGTTCATACCCAGATTAATGGAAAGAATATTCTAAATACCCCAGAAGGTTCCCTTGTGCCCTCCCCAATCAATAACCAACACCACCCTTACCCCCCCTACTCCACAGGCAGGAGGAGTAACCGCTATTTTAATCTCCATTACCATCGATTAGTTTGGCTTGTTCTTGAATTTCACATAAATGGAATCATACATTATGTGGTCTTTTCAGTCTGCCTTCTTTCATTCATCACAGGTAACCTTGTTTTGAAGCAGAAAACCCAGAAGCTGAGATTTATTTTCAGGAATTCCCCCTCTGATGTCACAGATCTGGGTGCCAACTACTCTGATTATTCTGGTTCTACTTCCTGCACTTTTCTGAGCATGTGTTGTAAAAACTTACAGCAAAACAGGATCTTGGATTGCAAAAGTTTTCCGTTAAGATAAACTAAATTTTTTAAAGGTATTGAAATCTATCCAATTTTAATACAGCCTCCACTATAAAAGTGTAATCTTTCCCACACTCAGTGCAAAATTCCTTTTAAACATATTTTTCTTCCATGGCACCCACTAATTATAAAGAAGCCTCAAATCCTGGAATAAAATGAGTCACTGATTCTGTTACTACTTTTGATTAGTAAGGGGTTAAGCAATAGGAAAATCTCTGAGGCAGCCTAAAGCCCTAAATTCAGATGAATGTGAGTCAGAAAAGACAGGAAAGGGACAAGAGGACAGCAATAAGTTACAGGTACAGATTCTTAAGCCAAACCATGAGAATTCAATTCTGGGATCAGCCAGTTCTAGCGGGGTGACCTTGGGCAAATCATTACTCCACTCTGTGCCTCCATTACTTCATTGTAAAATGGGAATAACCTCATAGGACTGTTGCAAGGATTAAATGTTAATGTACATAAAGCTCTTAGGAGACCACTTGGCACATAATAAGCTAACAATCAGCTATTCTAAAAAGCTGAAAGCAAGCCACCATTCTGCAAACCAAAGGTTATACAACAGTCATCAGGTCATCTAGTACAGTGCTTCTCAAGACGTTTCCTTCCTGATCCTTCACAGACTGATGCTTTTTGTAAAATGCAAGATCACATGCTTGAATACCATCGCAATGTCAAATTGCTCTCCAAGTTGTTAAATGTTTACTCTCACTTTCTGTACTTAATCGTATTTCAGCATAGCCCGATAGCTGTTCACGGACTGGCACTAGTCTGCAGAGGGAACTTTGAGTAGCACTGTTCTAGCACACAAGAAGGACTCATGAGCCTGCTAAAAGCTCAGCTACTAGGTTAAACAGAATTATGAAAACACGTTAGTAAAGAAAACCAACCCCAACAGCACGGGCAAGAAGATGACTTGAGGGTCAACAAGCTGAGGTAAAATAATCCCAACAGGCTAAACCTGAAAAACAAAACTGGCTGCCAGAGCAAGAGCCCAACTATTCTCCCCAGTGCTCTAGAAGGTGTTCTCAGGAAACATGTTGGCCAGAAGTCATCAGCCCCAGAGGGGACAAGAGACATGAAAAAAGTAGGCAGAAAGAAGTCCTTCTCAGGAGTTACAAGCCACCCTACACAGTCACCAAGCTTTGGCAACGTCAACCACGACACACAAAGGCCAGAGTTTCTTCTCTGCCAAAGAAAATATGCAAATATTCCCTTTGGTGACGTGGGACTATGCACACGCACACCCACATACCCACATATATGCATCCTGGTCACAGTACCTGTGGTTTTAGGAGGCTCCTGAGGTCCTCCTTGCCAGCCATACTGTGGGTATCCTTGGTAAGGGTACCCCTGGGGAGGTGGATAGGGTCCTCCCATAGGTCCTGGAGGGTAGGCCTCAGGCCCCATTGGTGGTTGTGGATAAGGTGGGTATGGGGCCGTCGGACCGGGGCCCGGATACGGTGGAGGGTTCCCTTGGTTCATCAGGGAACTGCAGAGTGTACCTAAGAGACAAACAATGAAAATTATTTGCATTTAGTCAGTGAAAATCATTAGGGAAAAAGTTTCAACCCATGAGATCATTTACAAAATGCCTTAAAGGTATCTCAAACCTCTTGCAAATCTTCAGCTATGCCCATTTTGTTTCCTTCTCACCATGACCACAATTGGCAANGCATGGGTATCTTCTGACCCCTCCCAAAAGTCACACTGTCATACACTCCCCTCTCTCCCTTCTGAAGTGTCTGCCAAGCCAAATGGCTACTTCCTCTATATCGCCGGTGTAAGCCAACCCAACAGTATATCCTTTGGACATGCTATAAATATAAAGCCACGGAGAAAGTTTATAAATCTCATTTGAGGATAGAAAGTACACATACTCAACCCAGCACACTGGTTCTCATCTACGTTCCAGCCCCAGTACATGCCATGGGAAGCAGACAGGAAGCTTTCCTTCCAGTTCCTGCCCACATTACGGAATCTCTAAGATTTGGAGTAGTTTGCTATGTAGCAATAAGTAACCAAAACATACGTCAAACTTCCACCTGTGGCAAAAAGTCTTAATTTCTGGTTTGGCAAGATCTGGCTCTCCAAATAGGTCGTTTGGACCTAATCCTTAGACTGAGGTCAGTTTCATATTCTTCTTGGCTAAATGCTTTTGCTTCCTGAGTTCCTTTTTATATAGCATCACTACTCTTATTTCAAAAATATTTATCTTCCTATATATCAAAGAGTGTTAAGAGGTTTTTCTGCTTTTTTGCAGCAGGGTTTTTGCTCCTTGCACGGTCTCTGGTCCTCAGAGTCTCTTTTCTCATCTGTTTTGGTCACCATCTGTCATTTTGGTGACTTTACTCAGGTCTCGGGTGGTCCTCTGTTGTTGATTAATATTTAAGGCTGTGGTTGTCACTTGCAGCCGTAAGCGTCTTGACTAACACAAACTGTGAAAGCCAAAACTAAGACGGCAAGAGCAAGGTTGACTGAATTCAGATAATAAGGAGGTAAACTAGACAGAACATGAAAACTAACTGAATTTGGAGAGAGGAGGTGCTTTGAAAGAAATCCGTAAGGGTGCAGTTGAAGCGCATGGGAGTGGTAAATTCTACTGGAGGTGTGTAGTACATAAGGAAAAGCTTCTTGGACGGGGTGACATTCTGTTTGATTTCCAGGAATATGTAGGTTGGAGCAGAGTGGGAATGAGGGGTGGGGAGAGAAGGAAGCAGCATGGCAGGTTAGAAGCTTTATCTACATATAGACTCCTTAGATGATGATATCCTGGACTTTAGGCCAATGTAGTTACTGGATGAGACATCTGGTAGTCTTGGAAGGGGGTGGATATATTTCGCGCATAGCAGAAATGTGAATTATTGAGAGCAAAGAGTGGAATGTTATGGACTGCCTGCTGAGATGGCCACCAACAATTCCTCTCATCCTGTATTCGCATGTCATGCCTCTTAGCAAGATGTTTATTTTACAGAAATGTTTATAATAACTATTATTTATGGGGAGCAGATTATTCTGCAATTTTTATTATTCTAAATTTATTATAATAAATTTATAGCCATTTATTTATTTATTTATTTATTTATTATAATAGCCAAGAAGTATTATAGAAACGCAAATGTCCATCAACTAATGAATGGATAAGTAAAATGCGGTACATCCATATAAAAATATTATTTAGCAACACAAAGGAATGAAATAATGACACATACTCCAAATGGATGAACCTTGAAAACATACTAAGTGAAAGAAGCCAGTCAAAAAAGATGACATATTATATGATTTTACTTATAAGAAAAGTCCAGATTAGGCAAGCCTATAGAGACAGCAAGTAGATTAATAGCGGGGGAGGGTTAAGGAAGTAGGGGGTGACTGCTAAAGGGTACTGGGTTTCTTTCTGTGGTGATGAGAATGTTCTGGAATTACAGTGGTGATGGTCGCACAACTCTGAAGATACTAAAAACCACTGGATTGTACACTGTAAGTGGGTGAATTGTATGGTATATAAATTATATCTCAATAAAGCTGTTACCAAAAAAAAAAAAAGTTGTGGGGATGCCACCTGTTGCCCCTCCTGTAGATTCTGGCCAGCCTGTGACTTGCTTTGGACAGCAGGATGCTGGGTAAGTAATGCTGTGCCAGTTCTGGGCCTGGCAGCTTCTACGTTCACCCTTTTGGAGGCTGGTTGCCATGTACAGAAGCTCAGGCGCGATGAGAGACTGTGCAGAGGGCGGCCTCATGGAGGCAAACCAAGGCCCTGGTCATGTGAGCAAGGCCATCTGGGACATTCCAGCCCCAGCCAACTTGACAGCTGAAATAAGTCACACAAGTGACCCCAGGAGAGATCATAGGATGCCAACTCACAGAATCATGAGAAATAATAAATCCTTGTTGTATTAGGTCACTGAGTTTTGGGGTGATATCCTGGATAATAGCTAACTGAAACACAATCTCTCGGAGACCCAATTCCATCTCTGTAACATGGGACTAATGCTACGGGGTTGTTGTGAAGGTTACCAGGTACCATACTCAAGAAATACTAGTTGTCATAGTTCTTATTTAAAAATCACTCCAGGAAGCCCTTGACATACTGCTCTCTTGGAAGTCTGCTGCTTTCAGTTTCCAAAAAGCTATTTTCCTAAGGAAAAACAAAGGATTTTCTTAACAACGATTTCTAAAAAAAATGAACTTTGATCCATAAACATACTACCAAAGAAGGTTCTGCTTAGATAGCCACCTACCCATCCATTCAACACACCTTTATTAAGTCCGTACTAATTACCAGACACCAATTAAGAATAGCTAAGAAGACCCTCCCTGCTTTGAAAAAGGAGCAATTTCCACCTAGGTAGCTGTTAACAGAATGAACTACACACTTGAACTTTAGTGGAGAGATTGGTATTTGTGGCAGTAGATCAATCTAAAATCA